AGAACAATCGAAGCGATGAGTTGACGAGGCCGGGTAGATGAGTAGAGTAGAACGGGTTTCAGAAATTGTGGTCTATAATTGGGTAGCAAGGCTAACAAATGATATATCTTGGTCAAATATCAAGGGGAGTGGGTCGATTTGAGCGTTGAGGATCTGGGGGTTGTCCTCTTATTACTTTGCTATTAACCTGCCGTCATTAGCTCATTTTAACGCTTGGATGACGTCAACTGACAATACCAGATAATTTCAGTAATCAACATCTTGTTAAAAAAAAATATCTTCAGAGCTCAGCATGCCATTTGACGGTAGTTTTCCTGTATGCATTCGCAATTATCCGGATAGTTGTTTACTTGCTAGTAGGTCTCAGTTCGCTTATTCAGCAATTGCAGCTCAAGGAGGTTCAAAATGAAACACCTTCCCAGATTTGGAGTAATGATTGAGCGTTCGATGTTTCTGTTTTGTTTTTCGTAGATGACTCGTTAACGGATTAACGTATATTGTCGAGTAATTTGGGGTTCTAAAATCTGCAACAAGTAATTCAATGGATTGTGTACAATTATAATTCACTGAGCCAAATCGAAACCAGTATACCATGGTGGCAATAAAATCGTTCAAGTAACCGGCCCTACCGATTTACTGATTTCCGCGGTTCGAGCTAAACATGTTTCGCCACATTCCCTCCTACATTGACGAGAGCCATATTTCATTTCGTACTAGCATACTTTACAATAGCGTGGTACTCAGAAACTTTGCAGTAAGTTCATTATTGATGAATTAAAAATCAAAGGCTGATTTTAACAGAACTAAAAGTAATGAAAACTTGAGTTATAGACCGTAATTACTAACAATCGTGATTACAATCCACGAAACCTCTCAACATGTTACAAACAAGTTACGACAACCTTATAAATTACTAACTATTTCACCAAGAAAACCTTGCAAATTGACAACGAACCCAGAACGCTCTATTATACGAAGTTTCGGAAGTTTAAGCAAACATGTCAAGTAATTTCCGCCATAAACTGAAAAATCCCCCCCTGGTACTACTTTTTCGTAGTTACAATCGTGTGAACGGGCAGCGATGTAAAACAATGAACAATTCTGGCTTAATTACTTATTACTATCATTTAAACTCCTACGTTTCCAACAAAGCAAATTACGCAATGCTGTCAGTCAATTACGCCCTACACACGCATTCAATGTTTTGCGGCTGAACGTTTTGCATTCTATTTCATATAATACGGCATGGTTAAGTGCGGAGTACGTTGATTTCCAACTTTACTATATTTCTCGGTAAAGGCACGTTTTCTAGATGAAACCCAGGCATGGAAAACGCATGATCAGGAACAGATATAGTGTCTAGTTTTATTACCAGTTAACTTCCCCTTAAAACGTAAAGCGACGCCCGCTTTAATTTTGTGATGAATGCTACATTTCGGTACAGTGGCTCTCAGCAGTGAAATTGATGCCAAAGGGGCATTACGTAGAAGTCAATTTATTCTATTGTCAACCTGTTCTGTTGTCATTGTTGAAGAACACTCTTATAATCGTCATTCAGTGTGACTGGTAGATTTGGTTAACTACGTCAATATCACTTTGCCTAATTCAGAAATTCCAGGCGCGCCGTTTCACCCAATTAGCCGCGGCCGCGTAGTTTAGCGGACGTCGCGTTATTATCATTCATTAATTAATGCCCTATACTTGTTGAAAAGACTTTCATACAATCGACATTCAGTGCGTCTGGTATATTTGGAAAGCTACGTCAATACTACTCCGCCAAACTCAACAGGATTCCAGGCGCGCCGGCTCGCCTATTAGCGTCAGCCATTTGGTGGGGGACGCCGCATCGTTATCATTCATGTAAATTGTAAGTGCAGCAGATAACCGAACGATTTTTTTGGGACCAAGTCAATAAGATAAACTATCATTGTCAGTTGGCTCCATTCCTCTATTCAGCGACTAATTTACGGGACAACAATTGTAGTGGTTAAGAGAGACATACGGCCTGGCGTTACACCAGCCGCCCTTACCAGGAAAATAGTCCAGTCGTTACCATTATATCGAATGGGGTAGATTATTACTACTAATTGTCATTATTGACATCATGCCCCGCACCAGTGAGAGCTGCGACGAGTCCACTTCTAGGACACATGCAATAGTGTATGACGCCTATTTACTGTAAAGTTTCTACAGCACCAGCCCAGATCTTCCGACTGCTCTGTGAGCGCTGGGTTTACTGCCCCCATAAATGAGACAGCGACGGCTGGCCATGCGTGGCCGTAATTACCTCTCTATGGAAGCGAGCTGAAGCGTGGTAGTACGGTATACACAATCGATTGATTACACTTTTCAATTGCCAGGGAATGAAAAATAAGTGTGGTCCCCCCTGTTCTGGTCAAGGTAGTGCAATTGTACTTAGGCAGTGTTGGTCGTTGCATGGAGATACCACTTGCATGTCTCTACACATTTCTGAATGGTTGGAGATGTGCCATTGGCTGACACAGGGTCAGATCCAGTCTGGGGCCCGTACTGTCGTGATGGGCCGGCGTCGTTATTCGATTGCCTGTGCTGCCGCTGGTGAGGGGCGGCGGTGCAGTGTGCGTGTCTCATTCACTGGCCCAGACGGGGGTGAGGATACGTTGACGCCGTTGTTGGATATTCCGGGTGCGTCCCGCGGTATCATTCATTCCGGGTACGTCCCGCGGTATCATTCATTCCGGGTGCGTCCCGCGGTATCATTCATTCCGGGTACGTCCCGCGGTATCATTCATTCCGGGTACGTCCCGCGGTATCATTCATTCCGGGTACGTCCCGCGGTATCATTCATTCCGGGTGCGTCCCGCGGTATCATTCATTCCGGGTACGTCCCGTGGTATCATTCATTCCGGGTGCGTCCCGCGGTATCATTCATTCCGGGTACGTCCCGCGGTATCATTCATTCCGGGTGCGTCCCGCGGTATCATTCATTCCGGGTACGTCCTGTGGTCATTTTTCCGGGTGCGTCCCGCGGTCATTTTTCCGGGTGTGTCCCGCGGTTGTTATTTGGGGTACGTCCCGCGGTTGTCAGTCCGGGTGCGTCCCGAGGTGGTTAGAGTTCCGTGATCCGCAATAGGTCACGACAAAGGGGTATCGCATGTAACGGGGCTATATGGTGGTGCCATAATTAGCCGTATGGAGGGGGCTACTAATTTCTGGGATCCACTTCCGAAGTATGGTTGCTGTGTGAATGTGGTTATTACTAGCTCGTCCCGGAAGCTCCTAATTGCCTTCAGAGTAGGCCAACTCTGTCGTCAATTTTGGCCATAGGCTGCTCCCAGTATGACCTAAATAATGAGCGAAAGGTGTATACATGCAATAATGTCAGTTGCGGAAGCCCAGAGATAATGACGCTAGCTGCCCATCCCGACCGTTTAACATGTGCCAATAGGTTGAATGGACTGCTCCATATAACCGGATCGATATTGTTTTGACCGCACTGAGCGGGCCTGTATTGCCCGGGCGTGTCCATCAGTCGCACAGCATCACCAGCTGCTCGTTTATGACCCTGAACAGTGAAATCGATACGCAATCTCAGAGAGAATAGCACGGCTCTCAGTACGGCCGACCGACAATGCGCAGGTGCCACTGCACTCATCGCTTGGTAACAATCCAAATCGGTAATCGTTTTACAACCGCGCCGAGCCGCGCGCGCCGCAGGACCGGCGAGGCGTCATTTTATTGTGATTGTTGTCTCGTTCCACCCAGTACAGAATTGACAAGTGTCACCACACGTACTTGACCGATACAACTTTGGCTCGGAACGAACGAATTAGTAACTTGCCTTTAGCCTGTTCCCTCCGCGCGTCTAACAAAGTCTCATCAGGTCACCAAAGTCGACAAGTTTCGAGAGGAAACCGGTACTTGGACAAGTGTGGCCGGGACCACTCGGCGTGTCCGCTAGCCATTTTATGGCATAAACGCCGAATCGATAGTTGTCGAAACTAAACAGCCTCCTCTCTCTCTCTCTCTCTCTCTCTCTCCTCTCTCTCTCTCTCTCTCTCTCTCTCTCTCTCTCTCTCTCTCTCTCTCTCTCTCTCTCTCTCTCTCTCTCTCTCTCTCTCTCTCTCTCTCTCTCTCTCTCTCTCTCTCTCTCTCTCTCTCTCTCTCTCTCTCTCTCTTTCTTTCTCTCCCTTCCCCTCTCTCTCTCTCTCTCTCTCTCTCTCTCTCACTCACTCTTATTCTCTTCTTTCACTCTCCCTCTCCCTCCCTCTGTCTTCACAGTTCCGTAACGTGCTTGTAGCGGAACAGTAAATGGGGCTATTGAGTTTTCCTGGCATTATTGGTGCGCTTTGTTTGGTTTAATTTACCTATGATGCGTAGGCACTGAACGTTTACCGAGATATGAGAGTGCAAATTGACACAATTCAGACTTTAACAAAATTAGTCAGTCACGACAGCTTGTTGCTTTTATGCATTTTGGGCTTTGGGAATCTAAACTGCTTAATGATCTGCCGACAAACTGACGGACGAGCGTGAGAGGCGTTACGCGGCGGCGATGATGTTGAACAAAGAAACAGGAAGACTAGTTGAGAGCATCACGACCAGAACCAAAGGAAACAGGAAGAAAATCACGGTACCACGACAAAAATCAGCATCGACACCTCATAACATCTAAATAATCAGAAACGCCGCGTAACATATGATCGAGGGCTCCCCTAATGAGAAAGAAGGGTAGACAGATATACCTATATTCCTTGTATCTTGATCGGAGAAGGTGGTACGATCGTGGACAACTTAATTATACTCTGCATTAGCAACTAAACACTTGCTGATAAATAATAATCAGCCATAACGAGGTGTTGCGATGCGTGTGATTTACCGATAAACCTAGAAGAGCAAGCTGTTCCCTGATGACGTCACTGACCCCCCAGTGACGTCATAGCTCGAGTCTCCCGTTCAAAGTTGGTATATAAGGAGCGATCATCAGCGCCGCTGTCCAGTGTGTATTTGGACGCTGCACTGCCTTGGATAGACGTCCAGAGAAGATAGTTAAGGCGACTTTAGTTTACCGACATAGCTGGTATTAACAAATTGACATCGGCGGGTGGTGTCATTAGGAAGTGTCATCATACACTGTCACCATGAGGAAGATTACCGTCATCTCAGTGATGCTAATGTTTACGACAGTGGCCAAAGGTAATCACCATTGACTATACAAAGAGTACTCGTTTAATAGGTAAAGGATAATGTGTAAGATATACCCAAGATACCTATGTGTCTGAATATCTAACTGTTTTTATGCATCGTGTTTTGTTTTGAATGATGCATCAATGAATGTAAACTGAAATTTTATAATTGCATGTTAGATGAAGATGGAAAGTATATGACCTCTCCTCGTCATATAAAATATGTTTGATTGTAAAATATCAACATTTCAGCTAATGTGCCTGTATCAGATCAATCTTCTGCTGCTGATCAATCTGCTTCTGCTGCTGTCTTCCATGTTATTTCGTCAGTCTACACTCCGAATAAATAACAATGCATCTTTTCAGCAATTAAAGAAAAAAACTCGTCATATTTTCATCCAAACTGGAGTCAAATTTTCATATTTCATTTTACAGGGATCGGTCTAGAAAGTACGTTTTCACGTTTTTGCCCCTGTTTCAGGTCAATCTCTGGACATATGTTCGGAGGAGGCCGAGGAAGTGGTACGTATTGCATTGCAGGTGACTTTAGACACGTTTTATCATATAGGTGGATGTAGAGACTAGAGAGGCATCAGCTCAAGCTGATGCTCAAGCTCAAGCTCCACTGAAAAAACAAAATGAGAATGGTTACGGATTGGGTTTCATGTGAAACCACGAGGTGGTCTATATAGTGAAATGGTGCTTGCTTGACCTCATTTATTAGGGCTGTCCGAGTCTCCTGTTTGACAAGCCTGATAGTTGGTCTCGTTTTGAACAGCGTTTGAAGCATCATGGGTGCGACTCTTTTTAGGACTAACCGTGAGAATGTTTGCTGGTCTCATCTCATATCCTGCGTCGGTGTGAGGCAGCGTGGTGGTTTCAGATAAGTGCAGTCTCTGGACTTGTTTACATACAGCGCATTGCCAGGCGCCATTTGCAAATTGTGTGCGTTGGTGTGCGCTGCGCTTGGAGTTATATTGTTATAAGTAGAGACATTCTTTAGCCATATATAAAATATTGTGCATGATAACAGAGGAAACAACACACTTGCTTATCAGTCATGGTCAGAAATCTTTTAATCTTTCGCTACAGTAAGATTTCGTTGAAATCAAGATTGGAAGGGCAGATGTCATAGTGACTTCGGCTTCTGAAGAAGGTAACGATCTTCCCGACCTCTACAAATTGAAGAACCAAGAGACAGTGGCGGCCGAGGAATTTCGCTCTCTAGGAGAAGACGTTTCGCACAACCGCGCGTTCACCACGGTGTAGCGGCGGCCGGGGTGAGTGACGAGTGTTCTTTGGTTGGGGACTGCAGCGCGGCACGACGGGACTGCTTTCGCCGCGCCCATTGCTACTGCATGAACTAGCTTTGTGTTTGAGAGCGGCTTGGGCCTTTTGTGACCGGGTCGGCAGCGCGTGGCACGACGGGACTGCCAATTGTCTCCGCATATATGCTACTGCACTGAAATTTGTGTTTGAGAGGGCCTGGGCCTGTGTCGACCGGGCCGGCAGCGCGCGGCACGACGCGACTAATACGAGACTAATACATTTTGAGAAGAAAACATGGTTGTATTTTGGGCGGCAATATGGCCGCGCGGCAGGGCGGGGCTGCGCGGCTACATTCGAGGGTCCAGAAAGAAGGCTCGTAACGAGAATGGCTTGAGTTCTTCTATGAGACCATTTTCTGGTCTAATCCAATGGTGGCTGATGTTGAGACAGTCCAGCGGTATTATCGTAAACCAGAACGTGGTTTCATCCAGCTCAGAGTTTCAAAAGAGAACACACTTTGAGCATTTTGGAGACCAGTTTTGTTTCTCCGTGAGACCACTGAATGGTTTCGCGAGACCGGTTTCTAAGCTCTCTAAAAGGGTTTCAGAAAGACCGCGCAGAATGGCTCAAAAAGTGTGGTCTGATTTGAATAGGGGAAAAAAGACCGCTTTCTGGTCTCTGAGACCAAAATTTGGCTGACTTTTTTCAGTGTATAGCCCAACACATTTTTAAAATAAAAACAAGATTTGCAAATTCTAGTTGTTTATTACAGCTGCAGCCAGGATGCTTGAAAACGGCCTTATGATTTCCTTTGCGACGAAAGTAGCATTTTCCCTTTAGTTAGGAACACTGTTTACCTATCCGGGAATATTTACCTCAAATAGCCATGGAGTACCCAGTAGGTATGTCAAATAAAGGATCGTTTGTTTACAGCTGCTTTCTCAAATATTAACATTGAACATACCGTGCCACCTTTTCTTATGCCCAGTATTTTGATGTTCCGTGGCTTATGTACCGTAAACGGGGGTGACTTTGCCATGCTTCTCGAAAAAGCCTTTAGGGAATCTCCAGTGATATTTTACGAAGAATGTATTACTTTTTTATGTACGCATGAAAGATAATTGATGGGCCTTCCAATATAACTAACGATGAGAGACAAGTTACCACTAAATGCCTAACTGGGCTCCATTTTATTGGCTTCATGGAAATGGTCAAATTTGAAGAGGTCAGAACTTTTTTATTATCTAACCATGTTTCAGACGAACTGCGATGCTAAAACTTGGTATGGTTGATCATAACAATGCTGTTTGGTTAGCATAGCCAGCAAAACTGGCATTTGTCACTTCATTTAGCTAAAATTTTTGGGGGATATTTTTTTCAAGTGAATCGCAGACCACATGGGGTGACTTTGCCACCATGTTATCAATGCAACAATGAAATACCTATCCGATGCAATTCAAATGCAGATCGCTACTTCAGTGTTCAATCTGTTTTGCTGAATGGCTGAAATGAAACACACAACGCCGGAATAGTTGTGCCCAATGCCGATTGTCGAAATGACTCCTCAAACAGTTATTTAAGCACGAGCAGAGGCCATTATCATAAAAGAAATTAAGCTTTCGGCTGCAAATACGAGTTGAGCCGAACAAAACAGCCTCTCGTTATTATAAAAAATACACGCGTGGTCGATGGAAATGTATCCTCCGGCTTGTTTGGCTTAGAATTGGGAATACAATTTGCAGCCGGTTAAGATTTGATCTTATAATAATGGCCTCTGTCTCAGTTCTATGCCGGTCAGCGCGACATGGCCTATACCTGGGTGACCGATCGCACTGATGTCAGACCGAAAGACCACACCGATATCAGACAGAAAGACCGCACAGATGTCAGACAGAAAGACCGCACCGATGTCAGACAGAAAGACCGCACTGATGTCAGACCGAAAGACCGCACCGATATCAGACAGAAAGACCGCACCGATGTCAGACAGAAAGACCGCACCGATGTCAGACAGAAAGACCGCACCGATGTCAGACAGAAAGACCGCACCGATATCAGACAGAAAGACCGCACCGATGTCAGACAGAAAGACCGCACCGATGTCAGACAGAAAGACCGCACCGATATCAGACAGAAAGACCGCACCGATGTCAGACAGAAAGACCGCACCGATATCAGACAGAAAGACCGCACCGATGTCAGACAGAAAGACCGCACCGATATCAGACAGAAAGACCGCACCGATGTCAGACAGAAAGACCGCACCGATGTCAGACAGAAAGACCGCACCGATGTCAGACAGAAAGACCGCACCGATGTCAGACAGAAAGACCGCACCGATGTCAGACAGAAAGACCGCACCGATGTCAGACAGAAAGACCGCACCGATGTCAGACAGAAAGACCGCACCGATGTCAGACAGAAAGACCGCACCGATGTCAGACAGAAAGACCGCACCGATGTCAGACAGAAAGACCGCACCGATGTCAGACAGAAAGACCGCACCGATGTCGGACAGAAAGACCGCACCGATGTCAGACAGAAAGACCGCACCGATATCAGACAGAAAGACGGCCGCCGGCTGACCCGTGCCCTGACCCGTACCCGTGCCAGCTGACCCAGCCCTGCCGGCTGACCCGTGCCCTGACCCGTACCCGTGCCAGCTGACCCAGCCCTGCCGGCTGACCCGTGCCCTGACCCGTACCCGTGCCAGCTGACCCAGCCCTGCCGGCTGACCCGTGCCCTGACCCGTACCCGTGCCAGCTGACCCAGCCCTGCCGGCTGACCCGTGCCCTGACCCGTACCCGTGCCAGCTGACCCAGCCCTGCCGGCTGACCCGTGCCCTGACCCGTACCCGTGCCAGCTGACCCAGCCCTGCCGGCTGACCCGTGCCCTGACCCGTACCCGTGCCGGCTGACCCAGCCCTGCCGGCTGACCCGTGCCCTGACCCGTACCCGTGCCGGCTGACCCAGCCCTGCCGGCTGACCCGTGCCCTGACCCGTACCCGTGCCCTGACCCGTACCCGTGCCCTGACCCGTGCCCGTGCCCTGACCCGTACCCGTGCCCTGACCCGTGCCCGTGCCCTGACCCGTACCCGTGCCCCGCTCTCTGGTAGACCTGCCCGGCCGACCAGTGGCTCAGTCCGGACGACGAGTGCTTGACAGGTGAGTTCGGATTCCAGACAGCGGCTATCTCACAGGTGAGTTGTCAGGTGAGTTCGGATTCCAGACAGCGACTATCTCACAGGGGAGTTGCCAGGTGAGTTCTGGTTCCAGACAGCGGCTATCTCACAGGTGAGTTCCCAGGTAAGTTCTGGTTCCAGACAGCGGCTATCTCACAGGTGAGTTGCCAGGTGAGTTATTATTATTATTATTATTATTATTTCAGTATACCCGACAACCACAAAGTAGTGGGCAGCAGCTCCACTAGTTCTGGTTCCAGACAGCGGCTATCTCACAGGGGAGCTCAGCAGCTCCACGGCCGTAGTGCCAGGGCGGAGGGGGGCCTATTTGGCCGCATCAGATTATCTCGGAAAGTAAGCACGCTAGAAAGAGTGAAAGACAATAGACGGCTCGCTATAAATCATTCAGAAAAGCATAGGTCAATTTCGATGGGGCTAATGCACAGGACGCGGGCTAATGCATGGGACCAACGTTATTTTATATGTTTGCATGTTTCCAATCACAACAAAAGACTGGAAACACGCGGATAATGTGAGCTGACTATGTACGCCGAATTGCGATTCGGGCCAAACATGGTTTATTTGATTGTCTTTTATTCATGATCATGGGTATTGGCAATGGACAGAAATAAAGAGAGAAGTAAAAATCGTTGTGATAAAGAGCTTATCGGTCAAAAGTCATTTGGGTCAGGGTCATGAAATTTTCAGAGTATGTGTAAAATTGATTAATTCGAGTGTTGAAAGTGTCGTTGCGATTTGTCGTTTTTGGCGCGATATTTGCACAGAAAAAAAAAACGAGAAGTTATGTCCAGGCCCCCCTAAAGCGCGAGGGCTAAAAAGGGATTACACAAAACCTTAACAATACAATGTCTTCATCAATTGAAAAGCAAAGATGTTTTCATATGTATTCGATGGTAAGGAAAGTATCGTCGCTATAGGTCGCTTTTTGCGCGAGTTATTCGCGAAAAACCGACGGGCTGCTGGTCCCCTATACAAGTGCGAAGTTTAGTATTTTTCACTCACATAGTTACAAGCATCATTGTTGTTATTATTATTATTAGTTTTTATGTTGTATTATTATTATTATTGTTCATCATTGTTTAAATTAGCCTGTAATTGATACTGAATAATTCATATCGACAGTCCTGCACGCACGGCTTTGTATAGCACTGGGAATGGGCCAGTGCCCAGCTGTTGGCTCTAGGTGCTAAACGTTGGCTGTTGGCTCTCGTAGGTGCTAACGGCGTCGGTTCTGCCTCCACAGCGGTGGCGTTTGGAGGCGAGTGTAGCTACGACGAAGAGTGCGCGCTGACCAACCCCAACTTCATCTGTCCTGACGATAGGTGTGGCGAGAGGTACTGCCCAGCGACTACAGCCGGCGGCCGTGAGTAACCGCGGCCGGTTTGATATTGACAAACACTACATACTCGTTACGATTGTGTTTGTCTAGTGAAACACAACCGGAGCAGGTCTGGGTTGGGGGTCCGTGTTTGGTATTCTTGCTTGAGATTGGTAAGTTACTAAATGCCTTTAGTTCTCGGCTGTGTTATGGCTCGCTCTAGCCAACCATGCCTGTAAAGCAGCGGAGTGACACAGTTAGAGCCTAAAGCATGAGGTCATCGCTTTTGCATACATTGATTTCCGTGGCGTAACTGTTAGTAGAACTGAGGCCAGTTTTACCAACAGAAAAATAGCCGCCTGCCGGGATTGTTTTTTCTAAAGACCGCTTCACACATGGAGCGTAAACGGTAAAGCCCTATCTGCTTACGTGCCCATCGCGTTTACATGTATGTGAAGCGTCTTTAGTCAGAAAATTCCATCTGGCGGCTATTTTTCTGTTGGTAGAACTGTCACCTCTGTTCTATGTTGAGCGGCCCCTGGTCGACTCGTCTGGCGGCTATTTTTCTGTTGGTAGAAGTAGAACTGCCACCTCTGTTCTATGTTGAGCGGCCACTGGTCTCGCCCTCAGACGAGTTTCGGTTGGCCGGCGGTGACGCCGCCTGTCGGACTGGCCGGGTGGAGGTGCGTCCACTAGACGGCGACGTCTGGGGCCAGGTCTGTGACGACGACTGGGGCAACGTTGACGCCACCGTCTTCTGCCGTTCCATTGGTCTCACGTGAGTGCCAAACATTTAATTTCCTCCAACTCATATCTCCGACGTTAATCTGGCTGTTTTTGGACTTCATCTGCGCCTCATGTTTCATTAGCATATGCTCAAAGCTATCTGTGACGTCTTGTTTTATTTTGCAAGCATTACAATCACATGTCTGTGTTTGGTTCAGGTCGGGCGAAGCCATCCTGGGATCGCGCCACTGGTATGTCACCGGGGCAGTTTTCCGCATGGACAACGTGCAGTGTACAGGAGATGAAAACCACCTGCTGGAGTGCCCCTACAATGGATGGAATTCACATAACTGTGTTGACACGGAAGTGGCCTCGGTGGCTTGCTCATAGCCGACAGCACCGTCCGATAACTGCTCGTCATCCGTGCTGTCATCCGTGTATTTGATAACTGAACCGTCAGCAAAAAGATGCGAAATGCCCATGTGCCGGTGCTTCTCGGTATATCCCCTATACGGAAAGAATAAATACAAAATAGGTCTGTATGTTGACTTTAGACGATATGCGGGAAATGCAAACGGGTGATGACGGGTGATGCACGCTCTTCATTCAAGTACATGTGGGCAAAAAAAAACAATAGATAACGAACACACCAGTAGCGCCGGAACACCTTCAATTAAGGGGGGGGGCACTGCCGACTGTTGGTCCCATTCTTTCCATGCAACGCCCATAGGGCTAATGTTAAAATGCCAAAATCAAAGGGGGCACGGTGCCCCGGTGCCCTCCCCGTTCCGCCGCCTGTGGAACACGCGATAATAAAAGCAAGGCCAGTACGAATCATAATGAACGAATGCGATAAAAACCTGCCTGCGATAAACCAAGTTTTTAAGAGCAAAAAGAACACAGCCTATATGGTGCCAGAAACCAATGGACAGTTGGAAGTCGAATGGGCGGTGGTCGTGCGTTTCTTTTTCCAGCCAAAGGAAGGCGCTATACCCGAATATGCTTCTTTATAACCAAACAAAAACTAACATAACCCAGCCTAACCTAACCTAGCCCGACCTAAACTAGCCTCCCTCCTACCTTATCCTTCTTAAGTGTACTTCAAAAGTTAAGCACACCTGAAGTACAACTTAACCCTATTCCTGGCGGGCTCCGCCGGGACAAGAAACTGGCGGGGGGCCGATTCGGCCCCCCCATCAGATCTCAAAAACTACACATCGCAGCGACAAACGGTAAACGGCATCGGATACGCACGGTCAAGATCTACAACTTTTACGAAGGTCATTTTCAGGTCAGGTCAAAGATGACGTCACAGGGGTCGAAAAAGTCAAAATGGCGGCGCTAGAAATGGAGAGTTTTTCTCGAATAACTTTCGAATTAGTCAGGATAGGAACAAACTAAGGGCGTCATCGTGATCCTCTCGTCAATCCGCATCGAATGATATATATGTTGACCTCGAAAGGTCAAGGTCAAAGGTTGACCTCAGGTCACGTGACCTCGAGGTCATCATGTATATCATTCGATGCGTCTTGACGAGCTGAACACAATGAGACCATCCACGCGTCTGTATCTTGTTCCTGTACGGAGTTATTGGCCAAAAACCTTTGGTGACCTTTGATGACGTCACATGACCTCACAGCTGCCCAACAGCAAAACAGACCTCAAGGTAGTGAAGGTTGATCGTATATGAAGTCATGTATGGTATATGGGGCCATTCCGACCCGTTTTAGTGGTAAAAACAGGGAGTTGATTTTTCCCCCATTGACTTACCTATAATGGGGAGGTCGCGAAACTGACCTGACCTTAGGTCACCGATATCAAAATTCCGAGATATACAAATTGCACATACTGGTACCCTAACTAAAGCCTGAAGAGAAGAAATTGATCGGTCAAAAACTCTAGCTCTGGCGTGATTGCAAACTTTTCTGAGGTAGGGTCACCAAACCGCCTCTGGTGACCTGACCTGAGGTCAGATCAACTCAAAATTTTCAGACTTGTTGCGTAGAAGCCTTTTAGGAAAAGTCAGAAAATTTGAGCTTCCTAGCTCAACGCGTTTGGGAGAAATAACCAAAAAACCTCAGGGGGGGGGCTCCTGAGGCCCCCCGCCAAGAATAGGGTTAAGTCTTAAGAATGGTCGAAATGCTTAATGTTGCTTAATCATTCGACTCGGCTCTTCAAGAGCAACAGAATGATGCCATTTTGAAAGCTGTATCTTTATTGTGTGACAAATTATTGGCACAAACGTCATTAGACCTCAGCTGACCTCATTTGACCTGACACATGGATAAGTTCACCAAACAAAGAAGCACCAAGTGACATAATGTTAAGTACTGAGGTTTCAAAGCACAAAAGTGATAGAACGAGGCGGGTATCTCCAGTATTTTCCGAATTGAATCATACCCGCTAACACCCCCCCCCCCTACATATTGACCTAGAGCAACCAAATTTGCACAGGGGCGAGAACTCCAGTGGGCCCACCTACCTATCAAATTTGGTGTTTCTAGGTGCATAGGAGCCAATCGCGAGGGGGGTCGCATCGACCCCCGCTGCCAGGCCTTGTTATACTAGTAGAAAAATGTCCTGCCACTCAGGGCGAGGGTTAATTGTATTACTCTGCAGTGAGCTACTAAGCCCTTGCTGATTTAAATCATCAGCCATAACGAGCTGTTGCGATGTAAGGTGATCTACCGATAAACCTAGCAAAGCACACCGCTCCCTGATGACGTCACTGACCCCCCAGTGACGTCATAGCTCGAGTCTCCCGTTCAAGGTTGGTATATAAGGAACGGTCTTTAGCGCCGCTGCTCAGTGTGTATTTGGACGCTCCGCTGCCTGGGATAGACGTCCAGAGGAGATAAGACGGGTTTAAGCCTTTTACTGATAAAATTGATATTGGCAAACTGACACCCGTGTTATCAGGTCATCAGGAAGTGTCACCATGAGGAAAATTACTGTCATCTCATTGATGCTTCTGTTCGCTGCCGTGGCCACAGGTAATGACAAGAAAACGAAAATCATTTGGCTTGTGAAAAAAAAAACTGTCAACCCAGAACAATTGTCCCAAATCAAACTGCTTTTAAGGATATCAAATTTTCAATTTTCAATGAATCACCAGTGAACGTGAACTCATGAACTGAATTTTATAACTGCATGTACGATGAAGATCGAACGTACTTCTCTTCGACACATTAATCACGTTTGATTGTAAAATATCAATATTTCACCCCAACTGTCTGTATAACATGCAAATCTTCTACGTAATTCTGCAATCTGATGAAAATCTTGCAATTAAATAAAAAGGAAACTTAGAAGAGACGTCACATTTTCAATTCCACATTATATTTTCGAGTGAAACCATCAGAGTTTATTTTAAATGTAGCAGTCCTATAAATACGTTTTCACGTTTTTGCGCTTGTTTCAGGTCAATCGTTAGACTTATGTCCTGACGAAGAGGAGGTGAGTATTGCATTAGAGATGTCAAACGGATAATAAGTTTCCGGTATCACTATACCAATCCCATATCAACTTAGTATTTGATATTTCAAGCCAAATGAAGTTGGTATATTGCTAATATTTTGAAGCAACTTTAACCCGGCGGCCGCTGGGCCTCCGCGCCACCCGCCGGCCGCTGGGGGGGGGGCATATAGTTGCCCCCCCTTTACTTCTGCGACGATATCGTCGCAACGCGAAGAGATAGAGAAGCGAAACTTTGCACACATCTTCCTGAATCCCTAGCCGAGGTTGTGTCCAAATTTGGTGTCGATCCCATTTGAAATGACGTCACAGTGACGTCATAAGTGAAATTATAGATTTGCGACTCTCATATTCCTCACGATACATCAGATATATGGGACCGAATATTAAAAGGGTCGATTATTGGTCAGAAACTAGATGGAAGTGTAGTTAGATGTTTTAGGGTGACGGCAGGTGCTGTCTAGTTCATTTACAGTTGAGTTTCATGCTCAGCGTCATCAGAAACGGTCCATATCGGAAAACGACGAAACTTTATGACGTCACTGTGACGTCATCTTAGGTGCTACAACCACCAAACTTTCTTTAAACATTGCCTAGGTATTCATTTGAAGCTATGCCAAGTTTCACGTTCGTAGCTCATCAGGTTTCGGAGATATTTCACAAAACGTAAAGGGGGGGCAACTTTATGCCCCCCCCAGCGGCTCGTGGGTTAAGGCATAGAATACACTAAATTTGGGAAAAGTTATGTATTTCATTAACCCGCGCCCGGCCTGGGGTCCTGGATTTCCACGCCCTGCTGGGGGGGGGGGGGTGTTTGAACACACACACACACCCCTTCTAACTCGGCTCCTGGGCCACGTAGCGATAGGCGGAAGGCGGCGTTCGAAAGAGCGTCAAGAATAATAAGGAAATCACTTCGGTCAATTTTTTGGTCAGGTCAAAGGTCAGGTCACCAGAGGTCATTGAAGGCAAAATTTCGCCGATTTCCAGGTCGAATGTCGACAATTTCCAAGAAGCGAACGCATGTATCGTGTCAGACATTGTGATATTTATTCACTTTCGATGATAACACAAAAGCAAATATTTTAAATAGCCAGACGTTTCGGCCTCAGGGTGCCTTCGTCAGTGACAATACCGAGATACTAATACATTAATAAATTAATCAATATAATCTTTTACACTTTCAAAATACACATGACCTGGACATTTTTGACAGATTGACAGACATTTTTGACAGACCTGGACATTCTTCGTCTGGACAGACGAAAAATGTCCAGGTCATGTGTATTTTGAAAGTGTAAAAGATTATATTGATTAATTTATTAATGTATTAGTATCTCGGTATTGTCACTGACGAAGGCACCCTGAGGCCGAAACGTCTGGCTATTTAGAATATTTGCTTTTGTGTTATCATCGAAAGTGAATAAATATCATCATATCATATCAAGCCAACGCATAACTCGGGAACCAATAAAGCTGCAGCGCCGCGGAAAAGCGCATTCGATAGCCCTATTAACGCCCTTTCTGAGTAGCTTTCTCAGATTTGACCTAACGTCAACGGTTTTGCCTGCAGGGGGCAAAAACTGCAAAAATAGCCGATTTTTTCGGGAACAGTTTTTCTGCAATAACTTTTGACCCAAGCCTTGTACGAGCTTACTTTTACCGGCATCGTGTTCCTCTCGTCAAGACGCATCGAATTAACTATAATTTGACCTTGAAAGGTCTACTTGAAAATTTGACCTCAGGTCAAGGTCATGACCTGACCGGAAAGGGTCATGTTGCATATCAGTCGATCCGTATCGTCGAGGTGAACACATCTAAGGCGTTTTCATCGCTCTAGCATGCCTCTATCAAAAGTTATTTGCGAAAAACTGTTAGATACCATTCGTGACCTAAGATGACCTCAGGGCATTAACAGGGGTCAAGGACACCATTTTCATGTTCAATGTGCCTAAACCACTTGTAATTCAGTGTTTGGGAGTGTTTATAATGTCTTTCGTCCAAAAGAGGCACATTTCAATTTTCTCCCATTGACTTATAATGGGGAGGTCGCAAAATTGACCTGACCTTATGTCATCGATATCAAGATTATAGGGGATACATTTTGTACATGCTATTACTCTTACCAATCGCTGAAAGTTTCAAAGCGATCGGTCACTCGGTGTAGCTAAGACAGACATTGAAACTTTTTATGAGGTGAGATCACTTCAAGTGACCTGGTGGCCTGACCTTGAATGACCTTGGTCTGAAATTTTTACAACATGTGTAGAATTGATTTATGATAAGGTGTACCAAAAAACGGCGGCGCTGAGCGCCGCTGTTTTTGAGATATTCGCGGAAAACCACAAGGGGGGTGTTCAAACCTCCCCCCAGCAGGGCGCGGGTTAATTTTAACAGTTGGTTTGATTTTCGGTATATTTATTTTCATTGTTTTGTTAGTTGTTTGGTTTGAAATCGGTTTCCAAATATTATGTACCTTCTTGATATCGCCAGATTACATTGTATCATGTGTATCATGTATTACAACAATCACGAATGCCGGTTGGCCCTGGTGATGTTAAATCTGGTTCACACATCATGCACACATCAGTATCGCACATACACACAAGTACATACACACAAGTACATACCTACTCACATTACTACTGATTTTAGATTGATTCATTCTGCATTACTCATGAGCAATTTCAATTACAATCACGTTTACGCCGAATTTACATGTGTTTGAACGTTTTTCCGAAAATCTTCCACAGATTCGGCTTCCATCATGCTGGGCAAAAGTTGGTTCCACTCTCTTATGGTTTTTGGGAAAAACGAGTTATGGTACTGAAGTAATCTCGACGGAAGTCTCTCTATCTTTTTAGGGTGATCACTCCGTGATATATAGCTAGGTTCACATATAATTCTACTAACATCTACTTTCATGTTGCCATGGTGTAATTTGTACAGTAAGCATAATCTCGCCTCTCTACGTCGGCTTTCTAGGGATACCCATCCTATTGTGGCCAGCATGTCAGTAACACTGCTATGTCGGTCGTAGTCATTAAGTATAAATCTAGCAGCGCGCCTTTGAACCATTTCCAGCTCATGCTTCATACCCTCTCCCCATGGGTCCCAAACAGAGCTGGCATAGTCTAGATGTGGCCTAACAAGGGACAAATACATGATTTCCTTTACAGCTTGTGGGCAATCCTTGAAATTTCGCTTAATAAATCGTAGCATCTGATTCGCTTTACCAGTGACATATTGTACATGATTTTGCCAGGTACATTTATTCGAAATATGCACGCCTAAATATTTGAACTCATTGACAACCTGAACTTCTATTCCATTCAAATAGTATCTAGGCATTGCAGCAAGTTTTTGCTTTGTCATTCTCATGATAGCACACTTTCCAACATTAATAGACATTTTCCATTTGGAACACCATTGAGATAATCTATTTATATTTGCCTGTAACGAAAAACTACATTCTTCATTGCTTAAGATGTCTGTGTAAAGAACAACATCATCTGCATATAATTTTATCTGACAATTAATCATATCCGGAAGATCGTTAATATATAAAAGAAATAATATTGGACCCAATACACTCCCTTGTGGGACACCGGACGTAACTCTAATCACATCAGAATAACAATTATTAACCAGAACTCTCTGCGTTCTATTATATAAGAAGGCTTCAATCCAGCCAAGAACGTTATTATCTAAATTATACATTTTTAGTTTAGTTAAGAGATGTTTATGTGGAACCCTATCAAACGCCTTACTGAAGTCAATGAATGCCAAATCAACACTCTTTTTCTTGTCAATGGATGACATAATATCCTGATAAAGCATGGTAACAGTTGTGACTCACAAGAAAGATGTCTTCTGAATCCATGCTGACTATCAGAGAATAGGTCAAAATCATCTAGGTGCATCACAATATGGGAAGCTAAAATACGCTCCATCATTTTACAACATATACATGTGAGCGAAATTGGACGTAGGTGATCTTGATTAGATTTCATCACATAGTACATAGATCTAGAGAGGTGTCAGCGACTCAGCACAGTCTACGGAAGTCTCTATTGTCTAAATCTCTAAATTCCAAAAAGGATCTACAAGTTTTAGATTTCCTTCATTAGATACACGTTGCAGACGAGCGAGCGAGCGCAGCGAGCGAAGTGAGTCTTTTCAATATAACGGAAAAATCTCAGTATGAGCGGCCCGGCCCGGCCCGGCTCGGCCCGGCCTGTAACGCTTTTGAGAGGCTTATATCTCAGCAACCGCTGAACCGATTAGACTGCGGTCTTTTTTGCTGGATAGCCCAATCCCTTCTACCCCGTAATTGACTACTTCTGATTCATCTCAGTGGCCGTCGTGGCACGTGCCACGTGAAAAGTCAAGGGTGTTCAAGCAGTTTTGCAAAAGTAGTGATTTTGAGAGGCCCATATCTCAGCAGCCGCTTGAGCGATTGTCTTGCGGTAATTTTTATATGGTAGCTGCATCCCTTCTACCAAAGGTCGGATACTCTTGATCTATGTGAGTGACCCCCACTGCACGTGCAAAATACAACAATAAGAGGTGCCAAATTTGTTCCCATTTCAGTAACTCGGTAATTACTGGGGCGATTTCGCTGAAACTTGGCATACAGGTAGGCAACCACCAGGCAATGCATTCCCATGTGTTGCGGTTAGAGTGCTACTGCACGTGCGCACGTGCAGGGGGCGTTTCCAGATCTCGAGAACGGCTGGGCCGATTGCGCTCAAATTTGGTACACGGTTGGGGACCGGTTAGTAGGGTGCCGTGCAAAAGTCATTTTGGACCCCGTTTGCACGTGCGCACGTGCAGAATGCCGCTTCCAGATCTCAGGAACCGCTTGGCCGATTGCGGTCAAATTTGGCACACCGCTAGCGACCGGTTAGAAGGGTGCTTTGCACAAGCCCGTTGGAAGTACCCTCTCGCCCTTCAGCACGTGCAGGGCTCACTATCTCGCTCGCTCGTTCTTCGCCCAAAAGGCGTTTTACTGGTTCTTATATTTGTCTCAAATGACCATGGACTAAACAGTATACCCAAAAAAGTATCGTTTCTTTACCATTGCTTTTTTCAAATTTCAATCTTGAAGAGACCATGCCTGTACCTATTTTGATGTCCTGCGCTTTTACTTTTATCCACCAGCAAAGGAAAAAGCGAACAGGAAGTTGAGTTAAATAGGCTGGTGCACCCTATTTAAATACTTGCATTTCGCTATTTGCTTCTCTTGCTACTTGTTTCAACAAACGAACAGTTAAAAACAAATAAACGACTGACACGCAACTGGGCGAATGGAATGAGCGAATCACTTGAGACAAAGCGTGCAGAGTGATACACGGTCTTTCCCCTATCTCAACGCTCACCGGTCATTTTTACTGCTACTTTTTTCGTATTCACCTATTGATGTGTATCGTGAATTCATCTGCATTTTCACGTGTTCCAGGAGCCGTTCTGTCCAGAGTCGTACTCGGAGTGTGACGGAGTCTGCTATCAGGATACCTTCATACGAGCTGGTGATGGCTTCAACTTACAATGCACGGGGGAAGGCCAGTTTCTACCGACACCCACCACGGTAGAACAGCTCCAGTGTCTACTGGATATCGTAGACGACGGTACGGCCGCCGTGGCCACTGGATTTACGAACAAAGGGGACAGGTTCGAGACCGAAGGGCCGGTTGGGACTACTATAACAGCTCCGCAGGAATTTGAAGGCACCATAGGACCCGATCCTAACGAAGACACTTGTGTGGCACTGATCAGAAACGAGGTGAAACTGAATCCGTTTGAATGTGATCATGTGTTCGTGGGGTTCGTGTGTCAGATCGCGCCGGTGGAATAGAGTAGTAACATCTCCGAAACCAGTATCGCGCAGCGTCTTCTTTCAACAAAAGCCGACAGCAATCCGAAGACGTCACTCGAAAATCTTACAACCCTCGCCCATATTGATGTTTTGCCGGACATTAGTGTGCTAAGGTTGTCCGGCCCCTAAGCGAGCTCCAGCTTTCCAGATGAAAAGAATAAGCGTGTTCACCATGACGAGAGAAAACCGATGATACCCAAGTTTACGGTATTAGATCATCTGTTGACCTTCCAGGTCAGGTAAATGACCCAAAGGTCGGGAAAATCGGGCCCCGCTACAACTTTTCAAAGCCACAGGTTGACACGGATTTTCTGGGGTCCTGATTGTGAACTTTGTAAATGTTTTGACCAAAGACGATGTATTCATACATTTAAGCCAGGTCGGGTCAGGTCAGGTCAGGTCAACCAGAAGATGTTCCGCTACCCTCTCCGCAGCAGGTGTCAACTTTCACCCTGGTCCCGTCATCAACTTTAACACTTTGCCAAATTTAACTCTATCCGGAATGTGTCTAGGTAGTGGGTACTATAGGTATTGATCAAAGTATTTTAAGCTTTTTAACCCTCGACCATATAGGGGGGGGGGGCAAACGGACCCCCCGGTTTTTTCGCAAATAACTCGCGTAAAAAGCGGCCGATCGCGACAAAAATTTAAGTACTCTCGAGTTAATCACTTTTACACCTAACCTTGAAATTTCATGACCCTGACTCAAATAACCTTTGACCTGTGACCTACATTTCGAGACCATGTTTGACCGGAATTGCGATTCGGCGTATGTCGGCTCGCATTAGCCGCGCGTTTGCAGTCTTTTTGTGGCTTCAAGCGTTCAAGCATGTGAAATGTTGGTCCCATGCATTAGGGTGGGTGTCAAGGTCACCTGAAGGTGAAGTCAGGTCATTGGCCTTTGATGACCTCGGTTCACTTTTTCGAGTTTAAATGTTTCTAGCCCAGTTTTTGGAGCTGAGTTCGAATTTAGCAGGGCCATATGAACATTTACGAAGTAGTTTTGGTGCCTTCGTAACATGTCACGAAGCTGTCAGAGGCGGTTGACACCTACCACGAATACCCGGCAGGACCCCTACTGGTAGATCTGACCTGACCTGACCGGGCCTGGCCTAAATGCATGAAGACACCATCTGTGATAAAAACTAACGTGATATTCGTGATCAGCACCCCGGAAGCCCCCATAGCAGCCACAGTTTACGACGTTCTAACAGGTTCCGATTTCCCCGACTTTTGGGTCATTGACCTGACCTGGAAGGTCAACCAATGACCTAAGGCCTTAAAATTGGGTATCATCGGCTTCCTTTTGTCACGTGCAACACGCTCGTTTTTTCCACGAAGCTCTAGCTCGATCAGGGGCGAAACGGCAAGGGGGACCAACGGACCCCCCCCCCCCCTTTTACGTTCGTGGCTGGAAAAACAACAAGACGGGCGAGGGTTAAAACTGCTGTGAGGTTTGAAAGAAATCGGTGACGCTGATTTGATGAAATGGGTAGCAGGGTAAAAGTTACGGCGTATGACTTACAACTAAAACCAGCCGATAGGCTCTGTCTTTGGTATAACGCCGAGATACGGTGACTGACGGTACGGGGATCTGGGTTCGAGTCCCGATGGAGCCTGATATTTATCGTGACACGATGCTATCCATGATATCCCATGCTTTCTGTGAAGGAATTATGCGAGTGTTTAGTGAGAAATACAAATAAACGATATTTCTTTGTTATGGTCTGCCTTATGATTGTCTGGCTCTTTGTGCTTGGTCTGTCATTACATGTCTTAGTATAATTATAGCCTGCATTTGGTGTTAACCCGCGCCCCGCTGGGCTATTCAGCCATACGCGCCCTGCTGGGGGGGGGGGGGAACGGCAATCGAAAGCTCTCAACAAGGCGGATTTTAAAGGTAGTGTGCCAGCTTTCCTGGATCGTATGGAGTTAATGGCCCAGATAAGGAGAACCGGATTTTTAGAACTTATCCATACCTTTAAAACTCATGGAAACGTCTTAAATTCTTCAAATTTTGAGTACCCCAGTGCGAAATTCGCCCCGACGGGTTGTTGGTCGTACCCCAACCACATTTCACACCACTATGAACAATAAATGCACACACTGAAATCGCTATTACCGATAGGCTCATCCAATCAAGTTTCGATAAACCCGTTCATCATCATCTCCTGCGGTTTCGAACACGCCTGTTAGGTGGTGCGGTAGACCGCGCCCAAAGCCAGGGCCCGGTAACGTGAGGTAGCCGAGTCGGGGCAGCGTGCGCTGACCCGGGTGCCACTCTCTTCGTCTAGCATCATTTGGTCTAGTGCCTTTTGAGCTAGTGCAATTGGTCTAGCGCCAGTTTGGCTAGACCTAGGTATATAGGGCCTTGCTCCTGATTCTGTTTCTAGCCTTCAGGAAAGGATCCATGTGCTCGAGTCTTCTATCAAAGAACTGACTAAACTGGTAGCAGAGTCAAAGAAATCCATTGACATGATGCTCCAGCGACAGCAGCATGTCTTTTTTCCAACGCACTATGGAGTCAGTGTTGACTGGCATCCCCGGGGTCGGTCTGTTTTTAGACGACATAGTGTATGCGGGTCGTGATCAGGAGGCGCATGACGCTAGCCTCCGTCAGGTACTGCAGCGGCTGCAGGAGGCTGGTTTCCGTGTCAACAGAGCAAAGTGCAGCTTCTCTGTAAGCGAGATCACGTACTTAGGTTTTAGACTCAGCAGCAGGGGCGTGGAAACCTCTACAAAGTAGACGCCATACTGAAAGCTCCTGATCCACAAAACATCAAGGAGCTTCGTATGTGGCTGGGCCTCATTAACTACTACGGCCGGTTCCTTCAGAATCTGGCTACCTGTTTAGCCCCTCTGTATCAGCTATTGCGTACGGGTCAGGCATGGAAGTGGACGGATGTAGAGAGCGCTGCTTTCGCAAAGGCTAAGGCGTTGTTGGTGAGACCTCCCGTTTTGGCCCACTTTGACCCGGCCCTGCCGGTCATTGTAGCGTGCGACGCGGGGCCCCGCGCGGTCGGTTGTGTGCTCAGTCAGCGAACCAGGGAGGGGGAGAGGCCCGTAGCATTTTATTCACGAACGCTGAGCGATACGGAGACACGATATTCACAAACGGATCGCGAGGCTCTGGCGGTGATCACGGCGGTGAAAAAGTGGCATTATTACCTAGCCGGGCGGGCATTCACCATACAAACGGAACACAAACTCCTGCTGGGTATCATCGGTGAACAGTGATCATCGGCTGCCAGTGATGGCACTTCTCCCCACATGGTGCGCTGGGCTCTCATGCTCGGAGCCTATGACTATAGGTTAGAGCACCGGCCTGGTTCGAAGCAGGTTCACTGCAATGCGCTGAGCCGCTTACCTGCTGTGAACCCGGCGCCCGAGACCGTTCCCCGGCCGGCTGAGTCGCTGCATCTGATGGAGTTTTTGGACTCCTCCCCGGTGAGTGTCGCTCAGATCCGTCGGTGGACCAGCGTGGACGCCGTCCTGTCACAGGTGTATCGGTTCGTGCGTGACGGCTGGCCGTCCACCGGCGGGATCCTCGGTCCGGAATTCCAACCGTACAAGTCCCGTATCGGCGAGTTGAGCGTTGAAGATGGGTGCATTCTGTGGGGAGCGCGGGTGGTATACTGAAAAACAAATAATGACACCTAAAAGGGGTGTTTTTTGAAGCGTACCAAAAACGCACAGTTTTCTAGAGTCCGATTACACCCGGAATCAGACACTTTCTAGAGTATTATGACACTGGTTGAGGGTGTATTTTTATACCGTATGGCGTCAAATGATTCCCGGAATCGTACGCCTTATAAGATAAAAATACACCCCAAACCAGTGTCATAATACTCCAGAAAGTGTCTGATTCCGGGTGTAATCGGACACCAGAAAACTGCGCGTTTTTGGTACGCTTCAAAAAACACCCCTTTTAGGTGTCACTTCAGGGAGTAATCGGATTTTGGGGGTGTATTTTGATCCCATACGGTGTACATGATTCAGGGAATCATTTGACGACATGTGGTATAAAATACACTCCCCACCAGAGTCAGAATACCTCGGGGGTGTCTGATTCCCGGTGTAATCGGACTCCTGGAAACTGCGCGTTTTTGGTACGCTTCAAAAAACACCCCTCGTAGGTGTCACCTCAACGGTGTTAAATGACCCTTGGGATGGTCTTTCTACACCGGTTGAGGATGTTTCATGTTATAACATGAAACATTGATTTAGCCGATTTAGGACGCTATAGCGTCATACATCGGCTTAATCAATAATATCGGTATACCAGAAGGCACAAACCACTGGGTACCCCCCAAACTGGTCATCCACGACACAATCACGTAAAATTAAAGACGTCAGTGACCAGTGTTAACGACTGCGCAATGTATTTTGTTCACAACTGCATGCAACTTGCATGTACAACTGAGAACAGCTGAGATTACAATTGCAGTTGCGAGCAATCTACATAGCGCAGTCGTTCACTAACGTATTTAATTTTTCATGATGGTGCCGTGGATGACCAGTTTGAGAAGTACACGATGTTTTGTGGTATACCGTAATATTGCTTTAGCCTATATTATATGTGTGACGCTAACAGCAACAGGTTATCAACCGGTGTAGAAAAACCATCTCAAGGGTCATTTAGCACCGGTGGGGCGACACCTACGAGGGGTGTTTTTTGAAGCGTACCAAAAAACGCGCAGTTTCTAGGAATCCGATTACTCCCGGAATCAGATACCCGCCGTGGTATTTTGACTCTGGTGGGAAGTGCATTTTATACCAGATGTTGTCAAATGATTCCCGGAATCATACACCTTATGAGATTAAAATACACTATCCACCAGTCATAGGTTGCAGTTGCAACCACGTGACGCAGATATATAGCATACATGCATGGCATTCGTAATTTTGTATGTAACAATTAAGTACAAAAATATGCATATATATGGCGAAATCTAATGGAAGCTTACCGTAAAGCACATGGGTTCATTCACCGTGAGGAATTGCTCTGTTCCATCGAGCGGCGATTATCGGTATACTCAGACTTGCCTGCATGGTTCTGCATGGTTCAAACTTGCCTCCGTTTCCATAGTGCGTTGCAATCTTACCGTCCTCACTTCATAATTTCACCGAGTGCAGGGCGCCTCCTTATTTGAATACGTACAGAGCAAGTTACAAATAAAAACTGAACTTTATCGTTAATGCACTATCACTTGAAACAAAACTACACTTCAAACAACGTTTGGCGACATTACAAGCACGTAAACTCAAATAATTCCTCTCCTCACTCACACCGCCCACACCACGTGGCACGCCGCGCGCGCAACTGAAGTCCAACGGCTTTCTAACGGTTTTCCTCAAGGTCGCACTATTTCGTCTTCGTGGTGGACCGACTAACACAAATGACGTCACAAGACAATGCAGCCTGCTGATTGGCCTATTTCATCTTCGTGGCGGACCAGCTATTGGCTAGCACACACATGACGTCACTCGGGGCATTGACTCAAATCACTGAACCTACACCATGGGTTACGGAGTCAGAGTCGGAGTCCGTTGGAGTCGACAGTTCTGGCCGTAGTCGGAGTCGGCTGGAAACGACAGTTCTGGCCCTAGACGGAGTCGGAGTCGATATTGGAAGCCGGAGATGGATTCGGAGTCTGGTTCACCGAAAATCTCTTGACTCTGCAGTGTTGGTTCCTACCACCAGTGACATCAAAACAATTTCTGTAATATTTTAGTGTTTTTTGATACTATCATGTGGAGTTTTTGAGCCCTATGGGTGTCATTTCACTCAGTTGAGCGTTTTCGTAA